GTATTTTCAAATATTCAAAACCAAGAAGAGGACGACAGCGCATTATTTTTATGTGTATATGCCGGTATTTCACCTTCCAACAAGTGACATATGCTTGACCGTCCTCCCCTATCATAAAAAATACAACAGTACGTATTTGAATAAATTTACACGATTGTACGCGTAACTTGAAACTACATTACAAGAATAATTTAGCATTTTTTCATTACAAAAACAATGATTATTCCGTGGCCGTATTGTGTTTCTGAATATCGGCTGAAGCCGGCCGAGATACGGCCGTGCAGAATTACAATTGAGATCACATTGTTTTACATTTCCCGACCTCATTTTCTTAAATAAAGAACTATTAGCATATTTCACTTTCGTATTTTTTTATTTGAACAAATTGCCAATATAATAAAGCCGTTTAACGTTTGAAAACATTAATAATTTTCATATATGTATCATAAAATGAAAAAAAAAATACACAAGGTTTAAGCTTCAAATTAGATTGCGCGAGAGTTGTGTCAACAAGTTGAAAAAATTCCATGGAAACAGCATGGTAGTATTTTTTTCAATTTATTATCCATTTTTGATTCATATACAGTCATTTTATTTTGATTATATGTGGGTGAGGTCTGTAGTTCAATCCAGGTCATACATTCTGCCACATTTTCTCTAGTTTAGAAAAACACAGTGTGGCAATATTAAAGTCCTTAGACCTAAAGATTCGTCATGAATTCATAAGCTAAAATGCATGTATGTTAAAGTAATTACTATAAGTATGTACCAAGAATGTATTAAGTAAAACAAAAGAAAATCTACGGCAGACGCACGGCCGTCCTTATAAAACTATATGTTGTCCCAACGCAAATATAACGACGAGAATTATTTCTCATAACGTTAATTAAATGCGCATGAACTAAGTGCACTTAAAAGTTTTTATTCCACTCCATTTGTAAAAATGTGTTGTCTTTATTTCTCTAACCCAACTTAACCTACTTAGAAGCCTTAGCCAAAGCTAAGCACCTGCTGCCGCGAATGCAACATTGCCGTAAGATTATATAAGGCGCTAAACTTGTAGGGCGATACTATTAAAATTTCAAGCATGACTACAACAAAAATCTAGAAAGAAATGTAAAAAAAATGACAAATCAAAATATAATAAGAAATCAAATCATAAAAAAGAAAAGGTCTTATTTACATTAGTAACGTATTATTATGTATCAATGTTCTTGAACACACATATATAGATACAATACAATATAAAACGATACACTATTTCTAGCATATTTCTCTCGTAGTTGTATAGAGAATGTCTGTAACCGTTGCTAGGCGCAAGAAATATCAATAAACGACCAATCACGCTACAAAAGGGACTGTTGGACACGAGCCAAGCCTTATCTGCCTTCAAGGGCGATGTCGTGAAACTGCTGACGAGCGATGCTAGGGGTTGACTTTTATTAATTTTATATTAACACTCGCCATCACATCGACTAACGATAGAACATAGTTCTCTAGAAATTTTCTTAGAATTAATGCTATGAAATGTGGTCTTAAATACTGTCTGTAGTTTAAGCGAGTAATACACATTTAAATAAAACACTTTAACGGTTTAAAACGCGATATATATTAGTAAAACTAGTTTGAAAAAGATTTTAACTACCGTCCGACGTTTCGGCTGCTGCAAAGTTTAAGTAACGCGTTTTAAACCTTTAACTGTTTTATTTAAAAAATGTGGTCTTATATTCTCTTCTTATTTTGGAAATGAAAATGAAATTAAAATATATTTGGCTCTTAATAACACTAGGTGTTCTGCGCGACATGAAGCAATGTCTTTACAAACTCTAACTTTTTGATGTTCGCGCATTCATGACTTCTAGATCCTACCAACACGCATTCTGCGTTGGATTTTTTCCATCATGATATACTAGAGAAGGCAGTAGGTTGTAGTAAAGTAGGTCTTGGCGAAGGATACGAATCTTTGGTGCTTGATAGTGGGTAACAAAATTTTTGAATTCAAATATTGGTAAAAATGCCTCTGTACGTGATATAAATTGTTAAGACCAAATGTTGACTAATTGAATGCGTTATAAGTAATATACTCAACATATAACTTAGCTCAAATCACACTTATAGTACAATACAATTACTTCCTTAGTGAGGTAGACAACCAGAACGTACGCTGTATGACTAATATAAAATGCCAGGCGCTAAAATTCGTAAGCTAACTTTGGGCTTACGATTATTATTAATGACTCATTAATGACGTCTCGGAATACCAAAAGTAGATTTATCATTTTGCATTAAAATAAAAATGTATAAGGCGAACACATTTCTGTGTCCGTAGCGATCAACTTTTTTGCAAAAATCACTTTTTTGTGTTCTTATAGTATCTTATATAATCTTTTGTTAAACATGCCTTACCCATTTAATAAGCCTTTTTATATTTATTTTCTCCTATACTTCACGTTGTCTGGAGCAGAGATCGCAGCCCGGGATAGAGACGCTTTTGGTTTGTAAGTTTTATATTAATTTTTATTTTCAAAAGCAGAACATATTATGAACATTACAAGTATTCGAAACAGACCTAAATTTCTACCGTATCATACTATAGCATCTGGAGCTGCACACAATTTTAAACAGAACTGCTTTTTATTCCTAAGTCCTTAATAAGTCGAAGACCTTTTTGTACGAGGAAAATTTTTAACGTTCGCCACTGTCATGGTCCGCAATCGATAGCCGTCTGCGACAGCGCCGGAAGTGACGTCACTCACCCCTTCGACATCCCCTATTCCAATAAATCGCTCGAAGGATGCGTCATACGTTCTTATGGTTCCGCTTCCATGTGGAAACCTTATTAACATGTTTTTTCCTTATTATTTTTAATGATGTCCTCGGATCATTTGTCATGCCTAGTTTGAATTAAGGGGTTACTATTTGTTTTTGTAATAAATTAGTATCAATTTTAAGACCAATTATTAAAAATAAAACTACCACCAATATACTCATAATTAAATAAAATTAAATTTATTAAATTTTAATTATCTTATACAATATCAAATATACTGTCTGTATATAAGTCAGTGGACCTAAGAACACTATAAAAAATAATAAGCCGTTATTGTTATTAACTAAATAAGTTTCCTTAACCACTAACATTTTATTTATCTTAACTACTAAGGCAAAAAAGTTGGATACCTATAGCTTTTTGTTCAAGTATATGAGTGCTTATTTTTGCCTAATAATGGCAAAATAAGCACTCAAATAAAAAAGTCTGGGCAAAGAGCCACATAAGTATTCAACTTTCGGATTTTTCATTGTTCCATCTGCATAATGGAGTCTGAAGTCTGAAGTCATAATCAGTCTTGTGGCATGAACAAGGATCGAGGATCGAACTCCAGACTTTATGGTCAAAAGATTGGTATTCAAAAAACACACTTTTATTTTTAAAATTGGATTATAAAGTAATATTGTGTAAACTTTAACAAAAGTCTCCAGATTAAGCATTGTAAAAAAGTTCTAAGAAACCCAAGAAGTTCCAACAAATTAAGGCTCTCGTTTGAAGCTAAAAAACGCCTTTAAAACGAAACTTCAGCTAATTACCAAGAACCGGCGTCTGTAAAAATTCTTTTACTTTCATTGTATCGCTTAAGTATTATTATGTCCTTTTAAATGGACTTAAGTTTATTTTTGTTTTATAGTTCATTAATTACATTATCTGTGTATAAACCCTTGTATGCCGTTCAAGAGATTTTTGCCCTTGGTACATGCTAATTTTACAAGTGAGTCAAAGATGATGGTTTAGGAACCTCATATATGCTGCTATTTGGTACAGTCTTTCCTCAAGGTACCCTTTACTATAAGTTTTTATATCGTGTGATTCCTTAATATTAGAGTCGCTATATAATAATTTGATTGAATTTCTATTAGTCATACATACAATATTTGATGTCTTCGCTATCGCTATACATAACAAACTATTATAATCTTTAGTTGAAGTTATACACACAAACTGTTCATATCTTACTTGCTACAAATTATACATTATCATTGTTTTTATATATATAATATATATAACCGATCAAACAATTGTGTCTTATTTAAAAATTTTATCTACATAATATCTACAGTTAATTAGACATTAATTAGAATTGTATACTATGCGCGACTGTAATTATTTATGTAGAACTATTATGCTTCGGAAGTTTTTCTTATACAACAGTATTTAATAAGAAAGTGTTAGATCAATTTTAGTATCAGGCATACTACAACCGAAACATTTTGTTGTCCCGAGATTCAAACCAGGACCAGGATATTTAACGCAATGATGACATGTCTAACTAATAAGGTACGATGGAAAACTCAACAATGATATAAATGTTTAGAAACCTTTTTAAAATAAAAACACATAAAAAGAAACGTTAGTCCTTATTCAATTAATAAGTCAAAAAATCAATATTATAATTATTAGAAGTCACGCACATTAGAGCCATCAATAAAATCTATTTGTAACGTAGTGTACTGTAGTAGATATCTATAGTAATTACACTTTTACTTTCCAAAAACTACAAAATGACAAAGTTAGTCGCTCGCTAACCACTTAAACAGCTGATCACTTTTCAAATTAAACTTTACTTTTGTAAGAACTGTCTTAGGTTTTATATTTTTAACTGCTATATTTGAATTATGTAATGAAACAAATGGAACAGATAAATTGAATAAGACGTCTATGTAAGCGAATTTTCAATTCTATTCAATAAGAAAGTTTGAACAAAGAATTTCAATGTTCTTTTGTTACCCCCTAAAATACTTCCTATAGATACTGCGTAATACTATCGTGAGGGGAGTCTACAAGGACATACATGCGCACGACACGACGTCGGCGTATTCATATTGACCTTGAGGTCTGCGCTTAATCAGGGTCCTAAGGCCCACGACCATACTGCAAGAGCTATTAGGATTATATCATTATCGATCGCAACAGCTGAGCGAGGATTCAGCCGGGTTGTTTAGACGCAATGCAGATCACGTGTGCGTCGATCGGCCTAGAGCCTTTTCTGTGGTCCGCCCTAAATCCTGCATCTCTTTTTGACATGGGGACATGCGGGAGGAAGAAGCGAGACAGACGCCATAGGGTTGGTGCCGGCGCGTCTGCTTGCCGCGCATCGCGAATCGATGAGTGCGCGCGCAAACGGGTAGCCACCTCGCCGATCAGACTCATTCTGTGCGGAGTACTCGTCCAGAGCGGTCTACCGTGCGCTACCTTCTGGGCGAACCGTCGGCAGTCGTGCCGGCGCCGCCGTCGGCGATGGACCACGACGAGGACAGGTCCTTGTCCCTGGGGACGGAGGTGTCAGCCTCCGTGCCGCCACCGAGCCCTCTCACGGGATGCTATCTGCTCGCTGTGATCGGCGAGCCCCATACTCAAGAGCATAAGGAGATTATTCTGCAGCGCCTTGTCAAAGGTAAGTTCACCGGTTAGAAAGTCGCCGATGTATTTGCAGAATGCAGTGCCCGTGATCTTTTCGCCGGTGCGTTGTGATTTCTTAGTTGCGTCATCCGTGACGATCGCTCCTTTTTCTAAGTCAGTTATCTAATTGAAGGAATTGATGGACAATCGCTTTGTGTCTAATCGATCGGGAATTAAGGATTTGAGTAAGCGCACGAGAGCTTTTATAATTAGACGTTGTTATTTATTACACACGTAATATTAAATACTGCATAAAGAAACATTCAAATGCTAATTCGTTGCTAATACTACTACTACTAAATATAGAAAGAAATTGTCCGAAAAAAGATAAACACTTTTCATAAAATTATTTTCCGGTAAGTAATATAATTATTATGAGTACAACTACTCTATTGCCCAATGTCATAAAACACCGAAAGTATATGTCACTAATAAAGCTCTATAGCGGAAATGCAACAAAACAATTGCTGCTATTTTGGGAACTTCCGGCTAACGGTCGTTAAAGAGTACGGAATGGATTTGACCACAGTAACAGAAGCAACTGCTTTAAGTGCTGTTTATTTTAGTCGGTAGCAAAATATAAAATATTTTAAGAAAAAGTAAGTACAAGGTACAGACCAGCAAAGGTTAAACACGGCGAAGAATTCTTCTTAAAACACACACTCATGAAAACTAGAAAGCAATGGAAATCCTCTCAGACTTACATAATTTGATCTATTAACAAAGCTTGGATTTTTCACTTGGAGCAATCATATTTAAAAGTACTGCTATGACAATGAGTAGTACCAATCGTATTTTTTGATCCGCGAAATTGCCGTCGGCTAGCCATTACTAATTTCTCCGAAGTTCGAGATCAGTGTACAATAATTTCACAGATAATTTACATTTATTAAGAACCAAATGACATTTTATTAATAAATTTGACGATAAATAACTCAGTCGAAACAGCACCTTTAGAAAAAAAGATCACAATAGGTACGAGCAAACAACATACAGACCTAAACATATATCAAAGTCTTAAAACATTAGTTAACTAACACATGTAAAAAACTTAATAACCTGTGCATAAAGAAAATCTTTATCTTTCGGTTCTTTAGTAAAAATATTTCATTAAGAGCAAATCCTAAATTATATGCATTATTATCAAAGGATTTTTCACAATACTCAATTAAATGTATGCCACAATAAACACATAATGATGACGACATTAATTCACTTACAGTTTGACTTAAAACATAGTATTTTATAAAAAATATCCAACTTAATATAACGAAATAACACTGTCCGATATACAGAGAAGAACGTTTTTATTGTAACTGAGAAACAATAGGTTCAAAATAAAACCGAATGGCACCATAACGCGTTACGTAACAAACCGATGTCCTCTTTAATAAGTATGAACATACTTAATGAAAAAGGAACTGATATGGCTTTTGTTGTTGGTATTATTATAATTAATTTATGTGTAGTTGATGGAAACACTTTGTGTCTGCAAGTTTACTTAAGATAAAGCGTGTCTCTTACTTAAACAGACAGTCACTTAAGCATAATTATTACATTCTTACAACAAACTTAAACGTTACTTTAATATTGAATAGTCTAAGGGGTTATAAATTGCGTTACTTATACTCGATATATACGAATTTAAAAGAATAATTGTACTCCAAATTACAAAAACAAAAATAAATGGATTACAATGGACATCAAGAGAAAAAAAATATCACACCCCACCAACAGCACATACTGATACAACTCAGCTGTTGCTGCAACAACTGAGTTGATGTAGCGACGATTTTCAGTGATTTTCCATGGATGACGACTTAGAGTGACAGCAAGAAATAATGTATAAAGATACTAAACAAATATTGTTTATATATGTGAATGTATAAATTAAACACTGATCATACAACATCTAACAGATCATAATTATGTAGGTATAAATAATTACTCTAAATACAACAAAAAATATGTTCACACGCCGCTGAGTGTATAAGTTAAAAATAAAGAAAATATATTGATTTTGACACATTTATTTATTAACACTTTATTGCGCAAAAGAACAAATATACAAACCAGACTTATATAATAAAGATTTGGAGGGCATTGCGCGGCCTTATCGCTAACGATCTCTTCCAGGCAATCCATTTAATGAGCAAGGAATACAATTTATTTTGAAAACAATACTTTCACTAATTTTATAATATTGATATAACGCAGTATCTTATACTAAAATTGTATAGAAGACAATAAGAATACACTAAGAAGATCATCATTAACAACGAAATTGCACTAAGACGTTTCGCATGCCTGGTCAAATACGTTGTCGTGACTTCAAAATTTCATACATTCGACAATTTAACGACATGAAGACGAATTTTGTCACGCTAAAATAACTAACGATATTTAAAATATTTCGTCTCTAATTTAATTAGTACTTAGTGGGTTGGACGCCTTAAGCGCTAGAGTACGTGGGTTTCAATCCCATTCCATTAAATAAAAAATTGACAATTCGAAATAAAACAATGTTTGTAAACAGCGTTTCAATTTATGATCGAGTAAGACGGACAAATATGGGTTTGACTTAATGATAGGTGATACCTATAGGCCAGCATCTAAACAAGATGCACTGTCGACCTATGATAGCTTCACTCTGATTTATCCAAAAAATATTACGCCGCTAAGCAACAATTACATGTTTAAATAAAACACTTTAACGGTTTAAAACGCGATATATTAGTTAAACTTATTGGAAAATTATTTTTAACTTCGGCCCGACGTTTCGGATGCTTTGCAGCAGCCGTGGTCACGGCTGCTGCAAAGCGTTAAAGTGTTTTATTTAAATGTGTACTACTCGCGTAAACTATAGACAGCTATAAAAACTATTAAATAAAAAACTTAACTTAGCGTACATAAGCAAATATATCAAAATATAACTAACTATTACAAGCTGATTAAATTTAAAAAAAATTAAGCATTTGTCGAACGTAGGTCTTTTAAAATGATTATTATTATTTTTAGATTTGTATTATTAAGTATTGTCTGTAGTAAGTTATTTCTAAACTACTGGCAATATATAAATTAAAAACGAAAATAAATTAAAAAAAAGTTACGACTCACGTACGACTTGAACGGGCATCCCCAGCGTTCCGTGCTGTTGCTAACCAATTGAGTTGCCGATTTCTACTGAGTGCAGGCAATCCTTTATTAACCAGTAAGGCCTGATATTTTGAGTTTTAAACCCATAAAAGTTTATTTAAATAATACTACCAATAATAGGGCCATGTTTGATTATACAGAATAACGCAACACTATAGAGACAATTTAAGAAAAAAATGTTCTATTAATAAAGAAATAAATTCTTTCGCTTCACGGTCCGTTGGGTTCACGTGAATTGCCCGTTCGCCTCATTGATGTTAGTACACTTCAACGGTTTACATTTTAGTGTTATATCTCTGAATTAATCTTTGTAACATTTACAATTACCATATATAACAAGTACTTAGTGTAAAAAAATAAGGCTACGCGCTAACTATCGACTTTTATAGGGATGGTTTATAGTTCAGTCAAGTGGGTATTTTGTGTAGACAGAAGCGAAAAACAGACCAGACAATCGGCTTATTTTACATACTAAAACTATAGATAAAAAAGCTAAAAGACTCTGTAACATTTAGAAAGAGTTCAAATCAATTTCGGCCTATAGTTTTATTGAAAGGAAACCGTGCAAAAAAAACTAGCACTCATTAACTGTACTGTATGCATTTCTTTATAACTACCTTCAAAACCTCTTTATTAAGCAGCCGACCAAACTATCGATAGATAGCTACGTCCAAACTGCAGGTTTGATTGAAGCCCAAAAGAACGCGTAACCTGTTTATTCTATTACAAAATATAGGCGCGCAAATTATGATTCTATTATACCTAAGGAAGCTGGTAAATTATTAACATTTTTTTTATTTGAATACAGTTGCATTTAAATACAGTCTGTAGTTTAGGCGAGTATTATACATTTAAATAAAACACTTTAACTTTGTGTTATTGCAGTTCGGAACAATTATAAATAAATAGCTAGTATAGTGGTAGTTATTCGATACAACAAACGTTACATACTAACAAATTATCTATATAGTATTATATACATACATAACACCAAAAGAACATCTATTGCTTGTTCTAGATGTATTATAACGATCCTAAGACATTAATGCTAGCGATGTGTACGGCATGCCGTCGGTACGATAGTGAAATTCAGCCGGCGGAATAATCCGAACGAACATGCATAGACTAAGTCGCGAGGCATCCGGTGTAAACACGTGCTGGGTCTGTCTCGACATCGGCCTATAGGGCTTCTAAGTCACTGTCAAGGCCGACTTTCTAGATGGGAGATGGTTGGTCATTATTAGGGCAATTCCACTGGTTAAAAAAACTAAATTTTATTCTACTCATACACTACACTCACACACTAACACTAGCGGTTTAAAACGCGATAAAATCATTTTTACTATGGCCCGACATTTCGGATGCTTTGCTTTTTGTCTCCCCGTGTCCACGGCTGCTGATAATCATCCTAAACGTCAGGCCGTAGTGAAAATAATATTCAAATAAGTTTAACTAATATATATCGCGTTTCAAATCGTTAAAGTGTCATGTTTAAAAATTGTAGACTTAACAAAACTCATACGCCACATACCTACACCTCCATGTAAGAATTTATCACAATTAATACATAATATTAATTAGGTCTAAATAATTTTGAGCAAACAATATATTTCTGTGAGAGACAAAAAGTAGTAATATATTACGATGTACGATAATCAATTTCAAGATCCCCTATAACCATATTTTACGAACTGATAAGAAGACGATGCCAAAAACTGTAAAGCCTAAACTAAACTAAATAAAAGAATGTATGGAAAAGTACATAATATATACATGTAATTA